ACAATGTATAAGATTCATTATTTCATAAACAAACAACTTAATTCATTTTCATTACTTCTTGTAGGAGCTGATACTTTGACACTATTTTCATGCTGATAATTTTTGCTCAAATTTTTCAGCTGATATTTTGATAATTTAATAATTCAATGTTACAGATTCATTAATTCATAAGAAAACACGACTTTTATTCTCATTACTTATGTTAGGAACTGATACCTTGACATTCATTCATGTTGTTTGTTTTGGTCAATTTATTCTAATTAGTTGCTCTCTGATTCATTTAACGTAAGATACATTATATAATTGTACATCTGAAATACATAAAATGATACAATCCCCACAATCAGGTAATGATACATTATTTAAACACGTATTTTGAAACATAATATGTTATAAAAACAAACACAAGATAGAAAATCTTAACATTTCAAATTATTGTAACGAGATTTCACCGGCTAATAGTATATTGCAATGTTTTATCAAGGTTAAATTGAAAACTGCAAAAAACTGAAAACATAGCGAAATTTAAAATAATGTATCTGAAACATAACAGTAGCTCTAACAAAGAATTATGTCAGTCTTCTTTCGGGAAGAAAGTACAAGTCCTTCTGTTGTGATCTTTCTATCTACAACGTCCACAACGGTTTGTATTTGTGCTTATCTTTTCACCTGAATTTTTCTTCCTTCTTTTTCTTGGTCGTCCAGCCAGCCTTTTGTATCTTGGTGGCAAGACGATTTCTTCCAAAATAAACTCCGGTGCTGACCAATCCTCCTTATCCGGCATTGGAACCATCCGAACTTCATACGTGTTTGCCAATGCAGCTGGTTTATAATAATCTGAGCAGTAGGGATGTATATCTATAATGTTTTTCTTCTTCAAAACAGCAAATGCATATGCACAAGGTATTTTGTCTAGCTGAATCTCCCACAGTTACAGATCTTTCTCTCAAGGCAAACAATGTATTTTCGCCCACATTCAAAAACTGAATATATAAATTCAGTACATTGCACAACCTGACAACATTAAGTAAGACACACCACATATCAATTAAATCAAATTTATACACATAACAACCAAAGAACAACAAATTCCAAATACATGATAGTTTATATATAGGGACATTCCTTATTTTTTTTAACATTTAGAAGCGTTTATAATCAACTACTCTTCAAATCTCTTCCCTAATGTTTCCTTTGTATAGGATGATATTTCTCTATTTTTAGAGTTCCAAGAATCGAATAGAACTCTGACTTCTTCCAAAAATTGTATTATAGGTAGTTGCCGCACTTCAACAAGGCAACCCTTGATACATTCCGCTATGTTAGAAGTCATCATTCTTCTCATGTTTACTGTTGCATGAACTCTTGACCACTTTTCATAACCATCATCCTCAAGATACATCTTAATCCGGTTGTCAATCTTAACGACTTTAGCCATCAATTTGTCAAAATCCTTTATAAGCCTTGGCCATTGAATAGAACACATCACTTAGTATGTTGTTGCTTCTCTTGAAGGTTGAACAAACATTTTTTCAAATGTGCCATATGCATGCAAAATGAGAAACATTTGAAAAAACAGTTCTGACACTATTAATTATGCTTCCATTTCTATCCGATACAACACACATTTGTTCCCTCTCCCCAAATGCACTTTTAAACTATTGGAAGAACCATGTCCATGAAAAATTATTTTCACTGTATAGCACTCCATAAGCTAACGGCAATATGCATCCTACTCATAAATAGCGCACATGTTTGTTAATTTCTAGATACACAACTATCCATATATAAAGTATAAAAATCAAGTAACCATTGTTATAAGATAAAAAATTATAAATCCTAATACATAAATTATACTTGCACCATCAAGCGTACTTGGTGATACAAAAGTTCATTTATAAGCTCCACCAAGATGTGCATCGTCAACAACAACTACTAGTCTATAGTAGTCAAACCCCCTCAGTGGCCTTAATGATATGAACATATACATGAACTTATTTTCCTCCGACTTATGCATCCGTATATAAGAATTTGGATACACAGTTTCCAACATATATAGATATTTAGGCAAATGTATATATCCATTCGCAGATTTACCCCTTACTATCTCTAATGCGCGCTCCTTAGCACGCCTTGCTTGTTGGTATGAAATATCAATCACATACAGTGCTCTAATATCCTCAATAACATCATTTGGTGTATGAATTCTTTTATGATTGTGCAGTTTAGGCGCTGTCACAGCACTTATAAACCCAACTGTAGCTTGAACCTTTGTTAATAACATATCCCTTATCGGATATGTATGCTCACTATTGAAGTACCTCACTTTGAATAAATCTGATTTCTTCCTAACAGATGCATTTAATTTCCAACAACAGTCATCCGATAAAAACAATAATGCATAGCTGCATTTTTTCAGATACATTAGCAAAAAGACTAACTGATACATTAAAACAATAGATTATTTACACAATAAATTAATATACTGATACCTTAACATAAGGTGAAATGAATCTGATACTTTATAGTAATCTTACATTGACAAAAAGATTTAAAAAACACATTAACCAGGAAATATTCATCAAATCATACTTGTATCAGGTTTACTACAATAATGTATCATCATTATTATAGGCATATATAAATCAAACATCAACAAAAAGTTTAGTAACATGTATCAGTTACTTTATATTAACAGTACTCTAACTCCCAAATATGATACATCAAAATATATACGTCACACATTTAATGTATCATAATTTTTTCCAATAATCTATCTTTATTGTTTCAACAAAATACAATGATACATTAATAGGAATAATCATATATTGATATATTAACACATGAAAGAAAGTAGTTCAATTATTTCTAATATGTTATATTAATATTTGAAAAACTCACACATACAAAATTACATTAAATAGTATATATACATAAAATCATAAACACCTGATACTTTATCAGCTGTAATGCAAATAATTTATCTTGATTTTGATACGCTTACATAATATACCTGATACTTTATAATAACAATATTATAACTTACAGGTCTTAGAACTCAAAATAACACGTCAAACATTTAATGAATCAACCAGTTAAGCAAATAAAGTATCATGACTGATTCACCAAAATTCAAATTCATGAATGAAAACCAAGTTCCATACCTCTTGTTAGCATTTACTCAAAAATTGAAGTCATGTTTATTTTGTATTTTTTGCCATTAAAGATACTAGAGTGGTTTTATCCTTGTACAGTTGATTCACTTTCACGGCTGTACTTTTTGTATCAGATATGTAATTCGTCACCTCCAACTCTGGTATATAACACGAATCACCATTTTTTTATTCTACCAAGTTGAGAGCGAATGTATCCTGTTCAGCACCTTCAACACAAACGATTGCACCAGTCAACACATCAAAACTTTCGATATCGCCAACATCCTTATCAGTTGTATCAATACAGAGGGGATACATTCCGAATCCAATCTCGCATTTCTTCACCTCTATGTACAGTTTTACTCCCATACAGTTTTAATCCATATATCAGTTTACCGGAAGATATATCGGCAAAAATATTTGATGACTACGAATTAGAAGATATATTAAATCAAGAATGGTATGAAATAGATTTACAAGATCTATATTTAGATAATGAAAGAATAGAATGGTACGATTTAGAAATAAATTCAGATTAAAATGAATTACAAATATTTACAATATTGGATAGAAGCTATGGAAGATATAAAACTATTAGAACAATTAATGGAGGAAAATTTATATATGTACCAAAGAACCCAAGATATGTTATATCTAGAATATATCATAAATAATATTAAAGAAATATTCAGACTAAAACAACTATCGGAAGAATATTACAATAAATATTATTACATTTTACCATGAATTCCGCAAGATTAAGACACTTAACAAAAGAATATAATAATAAAACCTTTAAAATAAAATACTCACCTACCACACTATCACCTACCAAACTACCACTTCCATGAATTCACCAACTACCAGTTCCGCTACGAAAAATGGTCTTACAATGTATCAGATTTCAATTTTTTTTCTCGACTCATCAATATTCAACTCAGCCTCAATTGTTGAAACTAGATTCATGAAGGAAACATGTTTACCAATGACTATCCCATCACTCTTGTATTTTTCTTATTTAATCTCACTTTCCCAAACTCCAAAATATAATGCCTCAACAAAATTGAGATATTCATTATGTATTCGATCAAACTCACAACAACAAAATTGATTCTCAGTCGAATATTTCTTAGTTGAAACAGAGAAGAAGACGAACACAATTTGAATCTTTGAATTCTGATTTGGTTTGTTATTTTGGGAATCACGTTTCTATCATTGACATTAAGAGCGAAACTGATTTGCTTGATTTAAGGGATTCAATTTTTGATTTTCCATTTTTATTTTGCATTAAAAGCGCAACAAACAAATATATAATGTTTAATTTATAATGTATCCGACCCACTTATTAATGTATCCGAGCTTCAATTATTGTGTCCGAATTTTTATATTTTTAAGAGATTTATGTAATTACAAACTAAGTAGGGACAAATTATAATTTCTTATTAAAAGTATGGGATTTCTAAAATTTATCACATTTACAAAAAAAAAAGAAAAAAGGAAAAGAACAAAATTGTAGGTAAACTCTTCATTCGCCAAATCATACTATTGAAGGGAATGATAAAACTTTTTTTTTGTGCAATTCCACAGAGAAACTTCAAACCACAACAAAAATCTATCAATATTTTCACTCGATTTCTCACCAAGATAGGGCTCGAAACTCATGTAGAAGATATAATTTATCCACTCAATTTCTCCAAAATCAGATTTGAATCACAGAGGAACTGATTACTTCACTCAATTTCTCCAAAGAATTGATTTCTTCAGTTGATTTCCCAAAACATCCAGACAAGTTTGGTGGTTTTGTCAATTTCTTCGGAAACAAACCTAGGGCTTATTCAGGTCAGTGCTCGATTTCTCCATTAATGATGATGATTTTTGTATAGATTTTGAATTTTTTTCTAGTATAAGTTGGAATTACCGAATGGGTTCTTCAATTGGATTTCTGATTTAATTTCTTATACTTCTTATTCTTTATGAATTGGGATAAAATTTGAGTTTATTGATTCTTAGATTGTTGTGTTAATCATCAGTTCTGATGGTAGATGGTAGCATTTTATATGAAATTATCAGTATTGAAGTATTTGTCTTTTGTGATTTCTATGTCAAAAATCACATTTAAAACATTATGGTTAAGATTTCAAAATGAGCAAGTAATTTTATTCTTTCCTTTTCCTCCGTCATATTACTCTGATTAAATGGTTTAACATGCTTCATGCTGCCTTAGTTTCCTTGTGTTTAACGTTAAACATCTTTTGGGTTGAAAATTTCTAACAGCTACAAATTTGATATCTAATGTCATATGTTCTTAAAGTAAGAACCATGTGGTGTTTGGCTTGAGCTGAAAGTGGAAATGAATACTCTTAGGTTACTTGTTAACTATAAGAAAAAACTTATATATATAAATGAGGATCCTCAGCCTGATGACGTGACGCCATAGCAAGCGAGGAATCCCCTTTTAATCAATCTAAATTTACTGATCCCATCCCATCCGGCACTCAAAACATAAACTGCGTCTTCCCCTCTTCTCTTTGAAGTTGTTCAAAATGAACAGAAACAACATCTTCCCCTTCAGCCTCAACAGAACTCAACCTCCACTCTATCGATTCCTTTTTAAACGCCACTACGAATACCTACGACCTATCAACTTGCCGTGTTCTCTTTCCCTATTGCCATGTCCATGCATTTAAAAAGAACCACTGGCCCACTACTCTGCCATGACACTTTTTTTCTTTCTGATATGTCAAGCTCTTTCCCATACAATATATTTACCTTCTGAAGGTTTTTTTTAAAAAAAATCTACCTGCTGCAATTCCCCCCACTACCGATACATTTTTAACTTCGCCGCTCCCAAAATACCGCTAACAATATTTTTTCCCTTTCCGTTAATTGTCCAGATAGTTACTTCCGACATCTCCCTTTTACCTTAATTGACATTGAAAACCCCAATAGAGTTGTGAAACAATAGAGCTAGAGGCTTGGAACTTTATGAATATTATGTATAGTTACATGCCTTTCATGTTATTATGATACAGTCGCCTTTGTTTATTTTCGTTCATCTCTTAAACAATCTTTCGCACCAACACAATTAATTTCAACAGTTCTCCTTAAATGCCTTAGAAGTTGTGAACACTGCCGCTCCAAATCCTTACGCACCATCAAATTGTGATACTTAATAAAGTTCAAAAAGGTTTCTAAGGCTAACATCACCATGGAGCTCTTACCTGGAAATTGAAAGATTAGAGTATGGTTGAAATTTTATTTCTGACCTCTTCGTGTTTAAGGTTAATGGGTGAAAATGACTTCAAGAACTTTATAGCTGTCACTTCACTTTTTGAATCTCCCTTTGTATGCATGCCTGGTCGCTTCGAACTCTATGCATATATAAAAACAAATTCATGTATTTCTACTTATTGCATTATAGCCGCCTTTGTTTATCATAGCTCATCTCTTAGCCAATATTTAGGACCGATACAATTAACACCATCAATTCTCCCCAGCTGCCTAAAGAGTTGAGCATCATGCCCTCCAAAATCCCTACGCACCATCCAGGTATGCTTCTTTGTAAAGTTTTACTTGGTTGCTAATACTTCACTACCCACAAAGCTGTTATCTAGAAAAGAAAATGTCCATGAAGCATACAAAACACCGTTTTGGCAAAACTCTATCTACCCCTGTCTTTACTTTCCCTCCGTAATATTTCGTTTCACCTCTTTAATCACTCTTCTTCATCTCTAAATTCTCCTACACTGCGCTTAAAATAAACTACGTAAATTCAAGTCCATAAATTCCCATAGGTTATCCAAAGATGGCTCTTCATTGTTCAGACTTCATGCTTAATAGCGGTTAACCTCAATTTAAGTCCGTCCTAAACTATATATGCCTTCCTATTAGAACTTTCCCCTGTCATACATACTCACTTTAGATTGCATTACGCCTTTAGTCGGGAAGGCAATTTTGTTCGAGCTAGCAGACTTCAAGAAAATAATTATGTTCAAGCTTAAAAACTTCAAGAAGACGATCATTGTAATCTAGACTAACATGGTGCATGGAAGATCTGTATGTTAAAATTTATATTATAGTGCATTATTCTGTTATCAGTTTATGGCCAAAAGGCTTTGTGATTACTGTCTATGGTATTTAGAAGCCTAATTGGCAAAAGACAACTGTTATCACAATTGGCTACAACTATTTAAACTATCCATGAAAGGTATCAAAGTTGTAACTTTTGTTCTTTGATCTGGAAATTATAAATGATTCCATTAACAATACAATAATTGTAACTGCTTACACAACTACTTTGAAGATATATTTTGACCAGCAGGCTGTTGAATTGGTTGGGATGAGAGTTTGTTTTGTTCAACTTTACATGACCATTTATTGTGTTTGTCTTAATGTCTCATGGCAACTTTGGTTTAATAACTTTAGTAAATCTGAATGTTTGAGTAAATAGATAAGATCATGTGTTGAGCATTCAGTTGTGAACATAGAATTGAATATGAACAGATGCAGCCAAGAAAATATTACTTAGATTATGCGACTGAAACTTTCTTATGACAAATTAATGTCAATGAAGTTGTCTTTTAATCTCCTTTATAGTTTTCGGATCAAATTATTCCCTCTAACTTTTTTTCTCTCTTCTTGTTTTGCATGTATACTTTTATCAAATGGAATCTCAAATGAGATTTCCTTTTTTGCAACTTCCATGTAGTTGGCTGGCCGCCTCAAAATTTTCCTCTAATTCACTGTTTTATTCACATTTCATGTCATGTTGAGTGTTGAAATTTAGTAATCATGGTTAAATAATTGCTTGGTGATGTGTTGCCTCTCTCTCCACTAATGGTCCTTCGTCACTATTTACCAGGTACTTTGTTTCCTTTTCATTTGGTTCACTTTAAAATGGATTGTGGCGCTTTATTGTGTTATCCTTTAGTTGTAACATGATATGCTTTCTTGGAATTTATGTGGCAAAGGCTCTTTGTGTCTATGGTTACTATTTCTCTCTCGTTGTGTGTTCAGCTTAAATGATTTTATGTAGTTTGTACAATTTGATTAATGAATCTGTGTGACCGGGTTTCATGTTTTGATTTCATATAATATATATAGTTTTATGTATTTTAACTTGAGAGAACATGGTTGGGCTATGTCACGTGTACTGTTTATGTCGTATTCTAAGTTTTGTTCAACTCGTCTTTCTTGTTTTAGTAAAAATAGAAAAAGAAGGATGTTGTTGTAGGGCAAACATTTTTTAAAAGAATTTAGAATCCCGTAATTACTTGCCAAAAGTAGAAGTTTAAGTTATGTATTACAGGTGTGATCCTGGGTATCTATTTTAAAGTTTCCCTGTTTGTCTAATACTTTGATATCTTACTTAAAGGAACTAAAATCTTATAGTAGTGTCGTAATTTAGCAAACTATTTTGCAAACATTATATGAAAGAATATACTCTACCTATTACATGAAAGGTATTAGATTCAATAAGTTTCCTACTTTTATGCTAGGCATAGTTACGGCCTACTTTCTCGAGAAAAAAAAATAGTTACGGCCTAGTTGCACACAAGACCATCTTTATTTTTAAAGGAAGTTATTGAGACTTCTGATAACTCTAGTACATAACTAATTGTTAGGCCTTAAAGGATGATTTGCGTGCTTGAGCGATCCGTAGTGTTAAAGTTATCTTGTTCTTAATTTGCTTCTTTGTTTTTCATGGTCTCTTAAAAACCAGCTATCAAAATTTTTTTCCTACATATTTGTTGTCTGTTTCAAGTGCTTAAGGCCTACTTGATTGTGACTACCCAGTATTACTTGGTTGTTACTACCCAGTATTACTTGTTGGTTGGTTTATCATTGTCTAGTGGAGTAGTCTCTCCCATAGTAAGCTGGAAAAGGCTCACTCTAAAAATAGGTGGTCTCGTGTTTCGCCTGCCTTTTGTACATAACACATATAGGTTCCACTTGCATTCACCATTTCAGCAACTTGTCTGTCGTAAGGAGCTTGTTTTGGATTTGTGGCCATAACGTGAAAATGGATTTATGTCTTGCTGATTTGCGACATATGAGGCCTCTCCAATTTACCTTTGGATAATTACCTAGAGGGATAGAAGCAGTTAAAAAATATGTGCTCTAGGACAGTAAATCTTTTATTGTGTTATAGTTCTGGAATAATAATATCTAAACTTGATGAACATTCGGAATTTAAATGCCATATAAAAAGAGATGCTCATATAAAAAGCAGAATAGGGGTGGCAGTTAAAAAATACATGCTCTAGGAAAGTAAATCATTAATTGTGTTATAGTTCTTGAATAATGATATCTAGACTTGATGAACCTTATGAATTGTGTAAATGCAATATAAAAAGAGAAGCCCATATATGACGCAGAATACGGGCAGTTAAAAAATTATATGCTCTAGGACAGTAAATCCTTTACTGTGTTATAGTTCTTGAAAGAAAATATCTAGACTTGATGAACTTTTTGAATTGTGTAAATACCAAAGACGTTTATCTCATTTTAGTCAATCTCCATAGTAAGGGTCACAATCACATATACATAACAACTTGTATATATACAAGAAGTTGTCTAAGGTAGATGATACTATTTTCATCAACAGATTTCTTAGGTCTGAATGTGTTTTTTTTGGGTTAGGATTTTATTAATCATCAAACTGGGTATTTACAAAACTTAGCCAGTATTACTGTACTAGCTATCTCAAAGACCAGCAATTACCTTCTTACAGAACTCATTAAATTAAAATTTATATCTATCTAATAAAAGTACGACTGATGCAATAGCTTTAACACAACAAACACCAGCAACTCTACGTGCTATATTCTCCATTGTGGCCTCATTCTTCTCAATAACTATATTATTCCTCTCCTTCCAAATTGTATGAGTGATGTATATTAATTTTAATAGTTGAGAATCGTGGCTTTTCCCCTTGGTCTTCTTGATGATCGATTGTTAGATCGCAGTCCAAGTATTTCTTGGGGGTTGGTTAATTGCTGTCCAGTGGAGTAGTCTCCTCCATAGTGAGCTGGCACACTCTAAAAATAGGTGGTATTTTACTATGATAGAAATACACCGATAGACCAACATAATTTTTAAAACTGATGCATGAAAAAGAGCCGACATGCAGAACTTGAATGAGCTAAAGGAAATTTAAATTTCACTGGATCTTTTGTATGATTTCCAATTTCATCATACAAGTAACAGGAAACACAATAGTAAATGGAACTAATCAACCCCTACCTGTATATAATCATTTCTTTTCTTTTGGCTTTGGATTCTAGTATAAGAAGAATCAATTGGGGGTTGAACACACAAAGGGTACCACCACATCTTTAGAATTGCTTCTTTATTCCATACCTTTAAATTTACCAAGCTTAGTCCTCCAGTAGGACTGGATGTGTTTAATTCATTATGAGGTGTATATACTGTTTTCAATGATATATGTTGGGTCTGTTTGGACCTATTTTGTTAGTAAAAAAAAAGTACTTGACATTGTCTAAAGTGAGTACTTTAGAGGAATTGTCTAGGTGAAACTTTTGATATTTGAAGGGATCAGTTTCCAAGACAATGGTCTGTTCAGACATTTAAGGCGTTGAATCTTCTGTGGCCTTTTCTAATTAAATATGTTTCCTTTGCTTGAGCCATTCCATTATAGACTGTCTGGTATTTGATGTTTCTATACATTTTTTGCACATGTAACATCTGTTGACAATGTGCATTTTTCTTTTTTCTGATGTTCAGATTATCTTTAGTCAAACATATGCTTCATACAGTGTTGTCCAAGTGAAGCAAATCATCATTTACTATTTTGGTGATGAAATTATTGATTTTTTAAAAAAAATTAAGTTATAAGCCATCCGACATTCTGTTACTAATTAACCTGAAATTGTTCTTTTAACAGATGCAGAATTTTGCAGATTAAAGAACCCGATGTTGAAGAATTGTGGAGACAACTTAAAAGAATTATATATTTATTATTTTATTATTGGTGTAGGGACATTATTTGTACCTATGCTACAATTTCTTTTCCTCAATTTTCAGGATTTGATAGATGTCAAACATTTATATTTTATAATATTATTTCGAACATGTATGTTATTTAGATCTTATGTCGAATATGTATATTTTAAGATATTCTCTTGAATATGTAAGTTTTCTAATAATAATATTAATATGCTGTTTCCATTCTTTTTTAACAATTAAATTTTATATCGCATTTTTTATTGTATGTGAAAAGACAATAAAATGATACTACTACTTTATTTGGAATTGCTGGAAAAAATATAAATTGTATATGATGTATTTATTTCAATAAAAAATTTGTGAAAGGAAACTTGGTCGTCAAAAGTATTGTAATCAATGAAAGGAATTTCGGCCGCTAAAAGTACATATAATGCCTGAAATTTGTTGTTTTTACTTCAAGATTTTAACGACCAAATGGCCACTAACGAAAGGAAATTTGGTCGTTGTAAGTAAGTGTAACAACCGGATTAATTGTTGTCGCTCAGTGATATTTAACGATCGGATATACAATCCGGTCATTAGTCTTTAACGACAGAGATTTTAACGACCGGTGACAACCAATTTTCACCCGATCGTTATAGACCTTTAACGACTGGATTTGGACTTTTAGCGACCGAAATTCCTTTCGCTAAAAGTCATTTTTCTTGTAGTGCTACCATTCCACCATTTAGATGGCCCCTTATGAGGCATTGTATGAGCATAGATGTAGATCTCCAGTTTGTTGGTTTGAAGTAGGTGAAGCAGCCTTGATAGGGCCAAATTTAGTTCATGATGCTATGGAGAAAGTGCAACTCATTAGAGATAAACTTAACACAACCCAGAGTCGCCAGAAGTCCTATGTAGATGTAAGGAGAAGGAAATTAGGGTTCCAAGTTGATGATTGAGTTTCCCTGAAAGTGTGTCTTATGAAGGGAGTGATGAGATTTGGCAAAAAAGGGAAGCTCAGTCCTAGATATGTAGGCTCTAATTATAAGATCCTGAAAAGGATTGGTAAAGTGGCTTATGAGTTAGAGTTGCCAGCAGAATTAGCAGCAGTGCATCCAGTCTTTCACATTTCTCTATTGAAGAAGTGTGTGGGTGATCCAACATCCATAGTGCCATTAGAGAGTGTGGCTGTGAAAGATAGCCTCTCTTATGAGGATGTACCAATTGAGATTCTTGATCGTCAGGTTCGAAGGTTGAGAAACAAAGAACTCAATTCAGTTAAGGATTTGTGGAGAAGTCGGTCAGTAGAGGGAGCTACTTGGGAATCAGAAGCAACCATGAAGGACAAGTTTCCTCTTCTCTTTCCTTCCGATTCCACTCCAACTTGAGGTAATAGTTCCTCTTCAGTTTTTCAGTCATTCATGCACAAATTCAGTCTTATTATCATGTTCCTTAGGTTGTACTTGCATTTTCAACGTATTTGCATGCTCTTGGAACTTAGTTCAGTCAGAAATCAGTTTCTAATAATTAGTAGTAGGGTTTGCAGCTCTTTCCCTCCATTTCAGCTAGTTTAGTCTTCATTCGAATATGAATGTTCCCAAGGGGGAGATAATGTAACACCCCGTATCCTAGACGAACCAAAAATGTAGATTTCCAAAAGTTGCAGGTGCAACCCACGGACCATAGAGTGACCCATGGCCCGTGCTAGTGGTTCGTGGATGGCAACCTGTGACCCTTACCCAGAACCCTCAATTTTTTTTTTGACTAAGTGTCGACCCACGCGGGGACCTACGGACCGTAGGTCAGGCAATGGTCCGTGGTCCATGGCCGTGGGTCAGCCCCCAGTTTTCAGTCCCAGAAACCCTCATAAAATCAGCAAAGGGTCAACCTACGCCAGGACCTATGGACCGTAGGTCAGACCACGATCCGTGGTCCAGGGCCATAGGTCAGACCCCCAAAATTCATCTCCCAGTATCGAACGATGGCCGACCAGAACGGACCGTCGGTCCATCCACGGTCCATCTGTCTAGTCCGTCGGTGACCCCGACATAAGTTAAGTCAAGGGTCATTTGGTCTTTTCCTTATGCGTTGGACCCCTAAACTACGTAGTTTTGGTCAGTTTTATTCTAGGAAACAAGTTAGAACTTATTCTAAGCAGATTATTCACCTAAACTTAGAAAACTTAGAACGCAAAAGAGAAGAAAGTCGACCAAGCCCTAGTTCAAGAACGCAACGAGTTTCCATCAGTTCCAGCCCTGAAATCAAAATATTTCTCAGTGGAATTCGTCATCAGGTATGTGGGATTTCACTAGTGAGAATTCGTCACCAGGTATGTGGGATTTCACTAGTGGGTTCCTTTCGCCCATTAGGTCCCTAGAATTAAGTCAGAATCTTGATTCCCTTGATATTATCTAGACCTAGGGTTTCTTGAATGTTAGAAATTGTTGGGTTTTAGTTGTTAGAATGAACCAAATCAGATTATTATGTTGTTGCTCAGTTTCTTGCATGAAATTCAGAACCCTAGTTATATGGTTCATATAGTTCATGAATTACACATGCTAGTCCAGTTATTTCAGTTATATACATACTTCAGTTTACGAATGTCATATAATTGTTGCATTCTCAGAGTTTGCATGTCAGAACATTGAGCTATTCAGTATTACAGAATTATGTCATAATGTCTTAATTTCATAATCAATTGGGAGTAGCTTAATACTGAGTGGACTAGGGTTTCAGCGTACCCTCATAGTCCCAGAACTACGTGCCCTGTAGGTTGTAAGTCCCATTGTGGGCATTATTTTTGTGATCACGCCAGTCATGCCTCGATGGGTATATTGGGTCCTCTCGATGGGGCGTATACATCAGACTCCACATTTAGCTCATGTTGTTTTATGTCGGTTATTAGTAGCTCCCATAGCACAGTCAGATTCTAGTGCATTGACCAGGTTATCAGTTATGGTTCAGTATTCAGTCTCAGTATATCATGTACTTGGCATTGTATCCAGTTAGCTCAGTATTCAGTATATTTCAGTAGTTACATTCAGTTCATATTATATCATTGCTCTCATTGCTTTGTTCAGTTATGATTATTGTTCAACTTTACTCTATCCTACATGCTCAATACCTTTCAAGTAATGACACATACTTTGCACTACATCTTCTCGTGATTTAGGTTCAGGTTCTCAGCTTCGAGATCACGCATAGATTGGTTCCCGATCTTCAGCTCAGCAGTATCAGTGGTGAGTCCTCATTCTCTGAGGACGACATACATGTTTCCTTTGCTTTTAGTTGTAGTTTTTCAATTTTGCAAGATTTAGTTGGGGCATGTCCCAACACTTCTAGTCAGTTAGAGGCTATTTTCAGACATAGTTAGATTCAGTTATATATTTGAGTTGATACTTCAGTTGTTTATTAAAACTCATAGTTCTTTATATATTAAGACTTAGAATGGGTATTCCCCATCAATTCATGATTTAGCTTCAGCATCAGTTTTATTGTTGTAGAATATTCAGTTTGCTTATGATATGCAAGCTCAGGGTTAGCTTAGGGGTCACTTGTGATCCTAGGTCCCATTTCCGCATCCTAGGGGTAGCTTTGGGGGGTGACACAACTTCTCTTCCCCTCGACCGCTGAAGTGCAATCCTCAAGCGTCGAACATGATCCTCTTAAGTCTTTGAGTATACCAAAATATCATCAATGAAGACAATCACAAACGAGTCCAAGGTCGACACACCTCGTTTATCAATTCTATGAATGTTGTAAGGGCATTAGTCAATCCAAAAGACATCACTAGGAATTCATAATGCTCATATTGAGTGTGAAAAGTTGTCTTAGGAATATCCAATGCCATAATCCTTAACTAATAATACCCAGACCTCAAATCAATCTTACAGAACAATGATGCTCCCTGAATGATCAAATAAGTCATCAATACACAGAAGAAGATACTTATTCTTCATCGTTACTTTGATCAACTACATGTAGTCAATACACATCCTCATGGTTCTGTCCTTTTTCTTTAAAACAACATTGGGCCACCCCAAGGTGACATTATGGCGTATAAACACCTTACTCAATAAATCCTACAATTGATCCTTCAACCCCTTTAGCTCAGTTGGAATCATAAGGTAGGGAGGAATAGAAATAGGCCTAGTGCCAGCTCCAATTCAATAGCAAAGTCAATATCCGTATCAGAAGGAACACTTGGAAGATCAAAATGGAAAACATCTGGAAACTCCTTAACCACGAGAATGGAATCCATAGGAGGTGGTTCAATACTAGTGTCTCGGATAAACGCTAAGTAAGACAAACATCCTATCTCCACCAGGTATTGTTAAGGTCTTAGTCTTATCATTACAATCAAGGATAGCATGATAAGAGGAAAGTCGATCCATACCCAATATAACATTAAAGTCTACCATACCAGAATGATCAAGTCTACCCAAGTGTCATACCCAGCTAAAGAAATAAGAGAGGATCGATATACATGATCCGCCACCAAGGGCAGATATTTGTTATCACACCACATAAAATTCAACAATAAAATAAGAAGACACATAAGAGAAAGTAGACACTGGATAAACAACACAGATGCATATCGATGGTAAAGTGGCATAATACCCGTAATGCTTGCATGAGACACCTCAGCCTCAAGTCTTCCCTGGAAAACATAAAATTGGCTCCCTCTACAACCTTCAGGTGGTACCTCGACCCTTACTTTGCTGAGCTGCAGTACCATTACCAGAAGCTCTACCGCCTCTACCTAACTGAACTCGTCCTCGACCACTGGCTTGTGGTACCAATGGTCTAGTATGAACTGAAGAACTAGGATGGGGTCCTCCCTAACCCCTCTACAAAGAACACTAGCGCATCATGTGATCGGGATCTTCAGAACTAAAGAAAAACCTTTTACTCAGGAACTGTTGTGACGATCCTAAAGAGCCACTATAATTGCCTCACTCCGTAGGTCTCAACTGTGAATTGTACGAGACATGACCTATACTATAAGACACACGAGGTGTCTGAACCCTCTCAGATGCTAGTATAGATGCATGAATGGGTCCCCGATGCCGGAAGGAACCACTCCCTCTATACGATCCCCCACCTCTAAATGAATCATTAGAAAACTGATCTGATGCACGACCCTCTTGATTTAGATGTA